AAACCAAAGCTGCACGGCTGTCAGATACATGAACATGTCCAGACTCGTTCTTTTACGCACATCTGCCGCTGCAGACTGCAGGGCGGCCACCCACCACACTCCACTCAAACAGAGGACCTTTTATGCAAAGCAGTATTAACATTTTATTCTCTTCTTGGCATCAAGAGAGCATCAGTGTGCACAGTGAGTCCAGCCAGTGGACATTATGTCACCAGCAGCTGTCAGGAGTTAAATAGTCAACCATGAATCCTCCCAATAAAATACATTAAAGCACTTAAGAAGGGTCGGGCAAGCAATTTATTCGGGTGTCTCAGTTTCTGTTTTAGCTTGTGAGTTTTAGAAAACATTTTTTCCCCTCCCAAGGCAATGTTTTTGCTCATGTGCCATCTTAAAATATCTTTTGAAGCATTGCATTTATTTTACTCACAAAAAAAGCTAATAGTTATTGAACTTAAAACTAATTTAGTGTTCGGGTCACTCAAATTTAAGAAGCTAATCAGTGTTAAAGTGCCCGTGACATCAAATTACTGTGATAAATATTTTGGAAAGAAAACATGGATAGCATATTGCAAAAGCCATTTCACATCACTGAGATGAACAGTTGTTGAGATATTTGCATGTGAAGTAACAGGAAGTGATGTCAAAGGGGAATRTCTGCATGTAAACAGAGCATTTCTAAAACAAAACAGACAGAAGGGAATTTTCTGATCTTTCTTTAGATAATTTTAGTCAGAGATAAAAAAAAGTCAGAATTCAAATAATATTATTTTAAAGGGATCCACTATTAGTTGTAACATTAAACCTTATTTGATAAACATTTATTTTAACTGTAAAATAAAGACTGTAAAAATACTGTAGGCTGTTTAGTTTATAAAATTTTTTAAACTATATTTTAACACGGACGGAGCCATTTTATTTACACGCAAAGCATTCTGGGTAAATTATGACATCAACTAGGTCATCGGCACGAGGCTGCTAGCGAGCTATATCCACCCTGAAGGTTAATCTTGGACAATATCTGATGATTGACGCTTTTAAATGAAACCAGAGAGCGTTGACAGAGAGGAGAAGGTAGAAATGACTCAGACTGTAACTGAAAATATGGATGGAGGACAACAGAGCTGCTTCATGGAAGAACCTCAGCTTAGCCTGTTAGCCTTCGCGCTAGCCCTCATGCTATATTGCCTTATATGTATTAGCTCGGTGCTAGTGCGACAAAGAAGCTAAACTGAGRTCCTCCATCCATATTTTCAGTTGCAGCTGAGTCATTTTTGTGTTCCCCTCTCTGTCATGTGGATGGAGGACCTCAGTGACGAGAGGAGAATGTGTAGCTCTGAGCTAATACATACTGTACAGTATATGGTGATAGCATCGGGGATAACGCTAAAGCTAACAGGCTAAGCTGAGGTTCTTCTTCCATGAAGCAGCTCTGTTGTCCTCCATCCATATTTTCAGTTCCAGGCTGAGTCATTTCTACCTTCTCCTCTCTGTCAACGCTCTCTGGTTTCATTTAAAAGAGTCGATCATCAGATATTGTCCAAAATTAACCTTCAGGGTGGAAATAGCTCGCTAGTAGCCTCGTGCCGATGACCTAGTTGATGTCATCATTTACCCAGAATGCTTTGCTTGTAAATAAAATGGCCCCGTCCGTGTAATATATTTTTAAACTTTTAGTTCGAAAATGATAAAAACTGAACATCCTACAGTATTTTTACAGTCTTTACTTTACAGTTGAAGTATATAATTATCATATAAAGTCTAATGTTACACCTAAACGGGGATCCCTTTAATAAACAAAGACCAGGGAGTTTTTTTTCCTAAAGAGTTCCCCTTTGATGTCACTTCCTGTTTCATTTTAGCTGAGCCAAATTCAAAGGAAAATATGCCAGTTATGTGACAACAAGGGTTAAATCATGTGTTGTATGACAATTTTTCTAAATATGAAGATATTTTCTTTGACGTTTTGTATTTGAAGGAAAGGCGTGTCACAGGCACTTTAAAATGTGCAGAACTCCGTCAAATTTACAGATAGTGAACTAAAATTTGGTGTAAGAGTTTTCGAAATACATTTTCTACTTCTCAAAAACTCTCACAAAAATTTTGTTTCATAAAGTTTGACCAAATCAGCTGCAAGTCTTTCCCCTCTCCTCATAAAATGATCTTAATCTTAAAACAATCTTTCTTGATTATTTTTAATCAGTGTAAAAAAAAACCCTGCAAAATACTGTAACAAAAAAGTCTGATCAATTTTTGAAAATGCAAATACTATGTGAAAAATAGTAAATTAACTCATCTTAATTGAGTGGCATGTTTTGCCTCATTTACCACCAAATGAGATGCTCAGTTGAATGTGATGAAGAGAGTCAAACTGAGAGGCACACATGTGAGGATTTACATTTATATAAGCCACAAAACAGATAATAGGATCAGCTTAATGATAAAGGACACCACTAACTCTGAGGGCGCAAACGATTAAAACCATGAGTGTGACGATCAGATCCTGGTGTGACAGAAAGCAGAAAAACAAAACAAATCAAGAATTATGACAATAAAACTACATGTGGTGACATTTACAGAAACAAATGGGAACTGCAGTTACACCTCAGGATGCAGGTCACTGTATCAAAAATCAGATTAGGATAATTTTAATGGATTTCATCCAATCCTGAGCAGATGACTATTTTTTTCTGCTAATAAACTAGAACAGGTTCTTCCATCTGTGCTGGTGGAGGGGGTGGCAGACCTCGACCCGCAGATCAACACAATGAGAAGGAAATCTACACAAATCCTGTTTACTCTCCACATCCCAATGTGATACATTAAACACATTTCCCTCGTTTTCCCACAAACAGCAGGACAATAGTGAAACATCTCAGTGGAGACGGGTGTTGTTAAGCATAAAAAGAAATAAAAAATAWATGGATAAAGGCCTGTCATTTTGTTGGGGGTGTAGTTAAAAGTTCAAACTGTTTGCCTTAATGAGATGTCAGATTGTTCAATAAGTGGTGTCCCTGCATGACTTTGATAAACAACTCAGTTCAGCCTCAGGTTAAATTGACACAGCCATCACGAAAGTGTATCATTTAACACATTAAGCAGGATCACATACCATCTGTTCATTCTGTGCGTATACATTTTAATGCACCGTTTAATTCATAAAAGTAAACTTCATGTGGTAAATAAAGACAATAATCAGATATTGTACTTTAATCTGACAATAATTGTGGGAACAATATGCAAATAAAGTTGTTTAAATCTAAGTATGACCAATTTTGCCTTCGTTTTCCTAACATCCTGTCTGTTATTCTCATCATTTCCAGTGCTCAGCTGCCTCCAGGGGACAAGAGACTCCACTTGTCTCTCTGACAGATGTTTTACCTGGAATCACTTGGCACAATCACAACATGCCACTCAGTAAGCAAATGAGGTCTTGGTAGCCTGTAAAATAACRGTTATAATATAAAATTGTTTATCTCATGAAGGTGTCAGTGGACATTTGAATACTTGCTAACACAGTCACCATAGATCTACAGTCTCAAATCAGACCAATACAAAAATAAATATTATAAAACTTGCTTTTATAAACATAAATAAAACTCTCAATCCAACTGAATTCAATTTATTTTCTGTTTAAAAGCCAATTTAGAATAAAAGTCACAGTAGGGCACAAAACATTTACATACAGTACATCATAAAACATCAATTAGTAAATTATTAACTTAGGAACAAATAGAGTCAAATCTTCGCACGCTGGTGACAGTAGAAAGGAATGACTTGTTTTTGACAAGAAAGAAAGCTCCAGCAGAAAGCTCAGGATGAGCAGCTTGATTTTTATTATTTTCAGAGGTGATGATAGATTAAATAATCAAGCTTTGACCTTTATTTAGAAAATGTAAAATTACATAAATATGTGTTGTASGGGAGTTGTTTTTGACATCTGTTTCCTGTGTGAAGTTGCTCAGACCTTGTTTACAAATGGGAATCTGCTGACATGCAGGCTTGTAGAGCAAAAACTTAGTTTGAGTGTTTGTCAGCATTTATTTATCAGAGCTGAAGATTACAACTGCTGACAGGATGGTTTCCAGTATTGGTCATGTTGTGATACAGGTGAGCGGGAAGGATGAATGTCCTTAAATCCAAGGATCTGGATGAATCTTCCCTGGATAAAAGCCAACTATGTTGTGTTTGTGTTACATTTTCTGCATGTTATAACTCCCACTAATATTTTAAATTTTTGATAAGAACAAGTTTAACTTGATTACGTTGCTCCAAAAATAACACAACATAGTACATATTGCAAAAACTTTTATGTTTTCTTTATATTTTAATTTATTCAATTCAAATTAAATTCAAAAATACTTTATTGACCCCACAGGGTAATTATATAAATATTGAGGTACACTAACATAGAAAATAACATAAAAAACCATAGAAAATCTAATAATTTTAAGTACTAAGTTATTAGAGGTGTTTTTAGAAGCTAAAATTTATTTGGAGATAAAATTAATTTAAGTACTTTGTCAAAATAAAAACATTTGTTATCTCTAGAAAACGAGTATTTCCCGTGGTACTTTTTTTTTGGCATAAATAAGCAAAACAACAAAAAAAATGTTATAGCCACACTAACAAATACAATATAATGCAGGTGTGCTAAACAAACTGGGCACCAGCTGATGACGTCACAATGCTACTAGCATAATATAATTATCGGCATAAAATATTCGTAAAGCTAATTTAAATGTTGGGAAAAGTAACTTAATTTGGACATCAAGTTCAAAATTGTAAGTTAACCCTATCTTTGAATACAATCATAGTTTGAGGACTCTATAAATACAAAGATAAAAGTGTGTTATTTATTGATTTGTCTATTTTGTTTTATTAGCATTTTGAYAGAGCTAACAGTGGCTAACTTCCTCAGCCTCGTGCAGGGCTGTTGGCTAATTAGCCATTTACTACGTGGGAAAACCGCGGAGGAGCTAAAAAAAACAAAACAAACAAACAAAAAAAAACTGCCTGCTATCTCTTCATCAAGTCGCACAGCTTGTGGCTGTCTGCGGAACAGCTCTGGTGATTGTTGGTGTGTCGCTGGAAGAATAACGCCCCTCCGCAGCAGCGGATGGAGAGACTATGGTCCCCTTCTGAAATCATTTCCAGCCCGGGACTGGAAGTGTCAACATCTCATGCTGAGAGACTCTCCGTGCTTTACTTTTACTCTCTCTGGGATCCACTCAAGGATGAACTGAAACTTTTTGGATTATATATTTGTTTTTTTGATTTTTATTTTTTATTTTTAATTGTTGACGAGGAAGACTTTTTAATCGGATATATGAGAAAACCCACGTGGATTTGTACAATCTTTTTAAACCAGAAGGAATGCATATTTTGTTTGTGAAACTAACATTCCTGTTGTYGCTGATAGGAATAACACAAGGTAGGTGACTTTCAGTTACATTAACTTACCTTCTTAACATGTTTCCATAACTTTCTTGTCAGTTTTATCCAGCTTTTATTAACACATTGTGCAGATTTCTTACATTTTCTGCGCGTTTAGTTTTCCACTTGTTGCCATCATCATCAGCTTTTTCTACAAACCAACTTTTCTTTGCTCTGGCAGCTGCAGCAAACACTTTTTTCTCCTCATTAATGTGTAAAGTCTCTGCAGTTTGGATCCTGTGCAGCTTTCTTTTAAATCTAATGTAATTGCAAAAAATGTGTTACTTTCCAAATTGCTCATACTTTTTCTCATGCTGCTTCCAAAAAAAAACTACACTTTAAGGTGGCAAGAGTCACAGGTAGACTTCACATTTGTGTAGTAATACCCGAGTAATTTGTTTAATTATCTCAAAATATTTATAATACGTAACTTTTAAAGCGTTTCAGCACAGTATACAATGCTTTAACTTTTGCTTTTGCAGGTCTAAGATGCTCCATGCCTACTGAGTCATGTTTGAACCAGGGGAGGTGTGAAGCCACTCCAGATGGCAATGGAGAGTGCAAGTAAGTTTTAACATCTGCATTCGTCTTCTTAACCGAAAAAATAAAATAAAAAAAAATCACGCCGGATGCCTGCACAGAAAAAGCTGGAATGTGGGATTGTGGAAATGACTCAGAGTTTTTTTTTTTTTTTTGGTGGACATGTGAGGGGTCTGAGAGCTCACACCACTGGTGCTATTTCTGGGAGGCAAATGGTCGAGAGAGAGAGAGAAAGGGAGAGAAGTGAGTGGACCCTGATGAGGACAGGGGTCACTGTTTATGTTTTATTGCCACCACATTTTGCTCTCTCTGGCTCAAAACTCTTGCGGGTCCTAAATCTTGTTTTTCTTTTCTTTCGTGGAGCGACAGCTGGGTTCGCCAGAAGCTCGGCGACCATTGTTCTGCGCTGCGATTAATTCTGTGTGACTAATCTGGGTGAGGCTTCCCAGAGAGACCCTCAAACCCCGTCCTATTACCACTCCCCCTTCTATCTCTTGGGATTGTGTCCTTTCCTCAATAGCCCTCAGTGCTCACTCTCTGATTGCCCAGGACAGATGGCTGAGATGTTTTACCAACAGAAACAGAGACAGTTTTTTTTACACCTGTTTTATAATAAATATCACAGTTCCTGATCATTTTTTTAACCTGTTGCTCTCTTGGCTGTATGTTCACACAAGTACAGTCGTTTTCACCTATTGTTGACGACTGCTGGATGATTGTGCAAGTCAGGTCAAAGCTCTAGGACAGCAACAAGTGGGCAGTCATCTTGGCCCTCCGCCACATCTTAATTTGGCCCGGTCATGTATTCACCCCTCACTCTCTCTCACTCTCACTCACACATGCACGCATGCACGCACGCACACACACAGACACACACACACACACTCACCCCGCCTCCTCATTGGGCCACAAAGCCATCATTGTGCCCCTTACGCTGTCCCACTCCTCAGACGTCTCCAATTATACATGGAGATGATGGGCATCGGATTTGAAAAGGTTTGCGCGGGCACACAATGTTGTGTTGAGCCTTTCTCTCTCATCGCGTGCGTTACAGTGTGGCATTAGATTAGCAGGAAAAAAGTTCAGATGTTAAAGATTGAACAGATTGTCGAAACCTTTATATTGGACCGTTTAGCCTCACTTATTTTAATTCTTTTACACAAATTGTTTTTGTGTAAGTTTTGTCACTCATCACTGTTGTTTCACTATTGTTTGCTGTTTTAGAACATAAAGAGTCATAGGGGTTTGAGGATATTTTTGTTTCCCAGAAACATGCARTRAGAGTTTTATTTTTCTTGGCCTCTCTTTTTACCGAGTTATGCAGAGGATAAACAAACACCTTGAATGTTCACGTCCACCAATAATGCCTATTGACATAATGTCTAGAATGGACTTACTATGAAGACAGGGATAAAGCTGAGTCAGTCCAGATTAGGGAATATATTTTGCAGATTCCAGTGGCACAAAGAATGACCGGAATCAAAGCAGTTCAACGCAGAGCTTATTTCTGCTCAGAGAGATGAGAGATGCCAGGCTGGCTTGATGGTAGGTGAGGAAGGATGCTGCTGAGAGATCACATACCTCATTTGACAGCCAGATGATAGCAGAAAGATGTGCAGAGGTGCTTTGGGGGTTCAAGTTGGCTCTGTAGCAGAGCGATGAAAACATACATCTTGGTAATGACCTGAATGATCTACATTTGACTCAAACTGCACTAAAACAATAAAATGCTGGAAGAGTTAGTAAGTTATATGGTATTTTGTAGAGTTAAGCTTTTGCTCAATGGTATAGGAATGCACCAAACCAAGATCAAACAGAGAGTATTCCTGAACTTATAGTAGCAAAATCTAYGTATTGTGATCAAACTGTTTCAACTTTAGGACATCATCAATGATTGGTGGTAACTGTATATGGTGATTTCTTTTGTTAACATAATCTGGTTGCAGTAAAATAAACAAGGGGATTTTGGGATGAAAAAAATTGGAGATTTTTTTGGGGGRGCCATATCGCCCAGCCCTAACCTTCAGTAATGAAAAAGCTGTATATATCAAAAATACATTTGACTAAATTTGCCTCYGTCGATTTGAGAACCTCCTACCATTTCTGACACTCCCACTTCATCRTGTCTTCACAACAATGCTTCGGGGGAGGGGTGCTCTCTGGGAGCTTGCAAACTTTTTATAAATTCTATTTGTTCAGCTCGGCATGGTTGAAACACCTGTAGTTCCATCTGTGTTGTTTTGCACAATCTGCTTATATTACGACCTTATTGTGAGATTTTTGGCTTCATGTTGAGCATTAGGTATTTAGGACCTGAACCAAAATCACCTTCTTTGGATGTTATCATCCATTAAATGGACRTTATTAGCCGTTATCAGTCCCATAGAATGGCTTCAGGCTGTCCCGACTGTGCCGCCTAGTGGGTTCTCCATCCCATAGAATGGCTTCAGACTGTTAGCTGGTTAGTATGAGGCATAAAGCCACTAAGTTTTTTTTATGCAATCTGGTTAATATGAGGCATAAAGCCACTAAGGTTAATTTTAGAGAAAGTGACATGGGCTACGATAAAGTAGACTGGACTTCGGCGGTAGCAGATTGCTGCATTCCAATATATATGGTACTGGTAACCCACTAGGGGGCACTGTCGGGACAGTCTGAAGCCATACTATGGGACTGATAACCTCTAGTGACGTCCATTTTATGGACTGATAACATCCGAACCRGCTGACCAAAATCCTACACTTAGGACCTGCTTATTTATTTTTTTCAAGTTTAAGCAAACAACGCCTCAGATAACAATCRAAGCCATTAATTCCTCGCTGGTATGTTTTCCTGCTACAGTACAGTATACATCAACCTGAATGAGAGTGAGCTCTTTTGTGTGTGGTTCTGGGCATTCTTCAATGGCACCTCTGTTTGCTCCAGTCAGATGAGTCTATCTTAACTCCCACTCATGCTCTCCACCACCCCCCTCACCTCCTTCTATGCACTTCTATTCAGAGTCAGGAAGCAGCCTCGGAGTGGCCTGAGGGAAGAAAAGGTGCCGTATCTGATCATATCATCACACAACGAGAAGCACATAGTGCAGCGCTTTTATATGGCCGCTGCCGCCAGTGTTGGGTTCCCTTTGGCGAGGTCTGCCTGTTGAGAGGCGGGTTCTGGCTGAAAGAAGGGACTTGGTGGTGGGGAACTTCAGAGACATTTGAGCCTCCCTGTTAGGCATGTGCCAAGACAAATCACATCAACTTTGATCGCAGTCAGTGACAGTCAGCATATGTGTGTGTGTGTGTGTGTGTGTGTGTGTGTGTGTGTGTGTGTGTGTGTGAAACAAAGACGCTTTACGTACTCCAAACCACACTTCCTCTGTTCTTTACTTTTCTTTTCTTCCAGCCAGACCACCTGTCCGTGGATTGTAGCATAACAACGATGAAGGTCATGCACTCRTGTACTGAGCAGCACGCTCTGTAATACCCATGATTACTTGTGGTTTTTGCCCATTCAGCTTCACACAAAAACAGATCAACTTCGTCTGCCAGGTGTGCCTTTTAGCTTTCAGTCACTCTCACTGCCGGGAACAAGCCACTCATAAAATATTTAAAAGAAGGGGTGTGACGTCTTTTTTGCAAAGTTAAGCAGAACGACAGATTGTACAGGCTGATACCAATCAAGGTATTTGAAATATGCAAAACCAGCACATTATCAGCAAACATTAAGATTTGAGTCCAAAACCTTAGACTCATAGTTGAACACCAGGGTGCAGCTGACCATTGGATTTGTGCATATGGACTTAAAGCCTAAAGTCAGTTTGTAGGTTTTTGCAGAGAATGAAGCAATTTTTTGAGTCAGACTGTGGCAGTCTTTGGTGACAATGCCGGTCCAGATGTTGAACTATTGATTTTAGCCACACTCAAAAATTTCACATAGTTCCTTCCATTAATCTTTGATTTGGAGCAGGTAAAAAGGCCACACTGAATATAGGCCTGTCATGATAACAAATTTTACTGGACGATAAATTGTCTCCGAAATTATTGCAATAAATGATAATATTGTTGGAGACCAGTTTAAACAAGTATAATGATATAACAACCCTGTTTACGGAAGTTTTCATTAAAATTTACATAGTGTAAAAAGAAAAAACAACTGTTGGAAATCCCAAGTCGTCAGAAAACTGAAGATGTTCCTCTGGATAAATGCCTGTTCATGGGCTTTCATGCTACAGAGGTTAAGAGGCCATGCACCTGACAAATACCTGACACCAGAATTCACTCCTSTCTATGCTAAGAAATAAAAAAGAGAAACATGAAGAAAACAAAAAAGCAGGCAAAGGAAAAATATTGTCTTCATTTAAATTTATCTTCCTCAGTTTAATTTATCATACGATTAATTGATTTATTGTTTATTGTGACAGGCCTAACTGAATGACAAACTTTCATGTTGTTTTAATTTTAGATAGTAAAGCTATCCAGGAACAATTTTCGGATGTTGATAATGTCAGATTTAATGTTTGGGTAGATGGTATCTCAGCAAGAAGGTGGCCAAGATCGAATCCTTGCCGGGGACTTTTCTGGTTAGAGTTTGCATGTTCTCTCCATGCATGCGTGGGTTTTCTCCAGGTCCTCTGGTTTCCTCCTACAGACCAAAAACATGACTGTTAGGCTAATTGGTAAGTTTAAATTGTCCCCAAGTGTGAGTAAGTGAGTGAATGGTTGTTTGTCTCGTTTGTCTTTATGTGTCCCTGTGTTAGACTTGTGACCTGTCCAGGGTGTACCCCATCCCACTGTGATCGCTAGATATGGGTACCAGTGACTCCCATGACCCTGAAAGGAGGAAGCGAGTTAAGATAATGTATAGATAGATAAACCCATAAAATACCAATCTTTACGTGTCCCTTTCATAGACTTATAGCCTGTCCAGGTTGTGCCCTACCTCTCGCACAATGACTGCTGGAGATAGGCACCATTTCCCCTCCACTACCCTGCATGGAAAAGTGTCATGTCATGTCAAATTTATTTACATAGCACATT